CGTTTTTTATTGCCATTAAGGCGGAACAAAGTTCGCCGGGTCAGCTAGTGTAAAATAAAAATAACAACAGTTTAACTACACACATGGTATCAGTATTGAGTAAAAATGTTTAGTTAGTACTTAATAGATATCTAGTTACTTTTGCAGTAATTAGGTAAATTAATAATACTAAGATTGGAACGATGTCCCTATTGGCGATCATTCAGGATCTTGTATTTTTGTTGGTTAAGAAGATACAGCCACATCCCACCTGGTGATTGTATTCACCTGTCCGTTAGGTCATGATGGGATTGGTGGAAAAATTCCTATCAAAACATCATGATTTAATGTAGAACCGTGTAGGTAAGTTCCAAACTCTACTATTAGGTTTTCTTTACAAATAGGCTAATAGAGAGCAAACATATTTTTTTGTGCTTCAACAACTTGTGAATATTCAAGTCAAGTCTAAAAGTTGGCAGAAGATGGTTATGACACTTTCGTGAAAACATAATAAACCTTTTCATAAAATAGACCAAAGTTGATATCAATCTGTAAGAACATTATCACTTCGATATCGTAGGTAACCCCATAATACCTAACTTCACCACTTACTGTAATGTTATACGAATTTGCATAACATTACCATGCTAATTGCTAATTATCTTTTTCATGAGTCGTAAAGTTTGCCAACACATCTGAGAGCTCCAATTAAACTAAGTTACTTTGTACTTCAACCGCCATGCGCCTCGCCGCGAACTTGTTATCTCGGCTGCACACTCAAAGGCGTCAAACACTATCAAGGCACAACTTGATGCGTCAACATTACGTCAACTCGGCTATAATAATTATTACTATCGGATAAACATGACAGGAATTGACTTTGAGCTGCTGGGAGGGTACCGGAAACTAGTTCAAGAACATTTTTTTTTAGTTAAATGCACGTTAAACTCTACCGGAACACAGACTCCTGTAATATGTACCTCTCGAACTCTTTGTTGCTTCTTTCTACGGATTTTGAACGATACTGAAACGGCTCAGTGGTACTTAGTTGGGGTAGCCTGGGCGCAGACCACCGACTTTTAGTTGGCCGAGAGTGCGCACAGTCCTACACCGATTTGGTTACGGCCTATTTTTAATACCAATTACTTAGAATCGCTCCCAACTATCGGCCGACTATAAAAAGTCTAGGCTTAATATTACAGGCCAATAAAAATATGATTTATTCAACAATAAAAATATGTTTAAATAACTTTCATTTCATCACTGGGAATTGATCCAATATGATAAATATTACTATCGAACATGCCATTGTATTTGACTACCTGTCAGTATGTTTGAACATGTCCAATTGATATCATCGCTCTGGGATGTGTGTGACCCGGGATGATAAAACATAGAAGGAGGTCGTCCTATTATGGTACTTTGCTTAGTAGCTTGGACGTCCTTTTCAGAATTCAAACATAAGGTTTCACCTACTAAATATTGTCGTGGGTCGTCACTTCGTGTGGTCACATGAGTAAAAAAACTCACGTGATGTGGTATTTCCTATGTTAAAGCACTGACTAAGTCCATGCTTTATAATCGTCTCATTATGTCGTCCCACATTATTACGTACACGATGCATGCGAGCTGCACGCATTTCATTATTTCATGCATGTTTTTCCGTACCGCATGAGTGTAACCTGCTTTATAGGAACCACGGACCAGACCAGAACTTATGCTTCTATGCTTTTGTAAGAACATACAAAAATATTACGTAAATAAAGCTACGTTGTGATTTTTCCCTCGATTATTGAATAGTTTGCAGAACCAATCGGAAATTGCTATTGAATTATTCTATTTTTTTCAACGAGTACCTACGAATGTACGATGTAAAATATTATGTGGAATAAAAAGGTAGAGAATCAGGTTCTCTGATCTATTTGATTTTTATAAATGGGACTTGACTTATAATGTATCGTATTAACTCAATACTTTAATGTTAATATTTAGGAACGGACATTATACTAACAAATGTATAAAGTAAAGGGCAGAGTAAGTACTCCCGGGAACAGTAGACGTAAATTAATTTATGGGGGAGCAACAACGGGAAACATGGCTGAAACTTGATTAATGAAGAGCATTTCTTGGAGTTAGGAATAGAATAATTGTGGGCCAAATTAATTGCAAGCCTACCATCTGGTCGTGATGTTAGCACAATACATCCTATCTTTTAAGATAAAAAATAAATCACAGTCTTATCTTACATTTATTTTTTTGTGCTAAAATTCAGTAAACGCATCATACTTAATATTGTGTTAGGAGATTGTACCTACTTCACCGTCGTCTTCCGTAGATTGTTCAGTCAACGATCATACTGAATAAAACAAAACTGTAATAGCTCAGCACAATTTATGCGAACCATTATTAAAATATGGCGAATAGGCAGTCGGTTCTTCAGTCCGGAGACTGTAATTTCTTAAGAAAGTTACTTTGGCTCCTCTGCCCATTTCGAATTTAATTTCATTAAAGCTGTCTTCGTTTTAAATTGTAGATTACGACACTTCAGCTTGTCTCTTTGCATACTCCCAATGCCAGAAGCATTTACAGTCACATTGGGGTCTATTGTTCCTATCATTTTCTTTTTTACAGGAGCGGCGGAAAGACAATAAGTTTTTTCTTGGAACCACAAGATTGCCTGAAAAATATACGAGTGTGCAGCTTTTATTAAAAATTTATGACGTGGCCTTCTGTTGTGGTATACGACAGTAATGGCAGGTACTGAAGCTAAACTTTTTGAATTATTTGATCATGATAACATGGTTGGAATACTCGTCATTTGGGAAAGTAAAGTATTTATTTATTTATTAGGTATACCAACAAAGTCGCATACCTACATAATACAGTTCATACATTTTAACATGGTTTAACACATGATGCGTATATGACCTCAATTACAGGTATACACAGCATTTCTTTTTGCAATGTTAGGGAACTTAAATACACTAGAAAAAACAAAAATCAATTGAATAGAGTTTAAGCACCGAAAGGATATAAAATGTATATCCTTTCGGTGCTTTATATTATAAAGGATTTAGTAATTGTTCATTTTGTTCGGTGCCTAAGTCGTTCAGAATACAGGCTTGAGTTTTGACATAAATTTAAAGTATTGCAATGTTTAATCCGAATTTAAATTTTCGAGTCATTCCCAAGTTGTTCGGTGAAAAAATAAACATAACGCACATAATGTTACATTTCAGCAATACGAGTGTTACTATCATAATTTAATTTATTTCGCTTTCATATCCCTTGACCTAGGCTGAAGAAAGTTAAATGGATTTATTGTCAAAGAAAGGTTTGTTTGCAAATAAGTTTAGTAATGGTTCGCTGGTGAAATCCATTTTCTTTATTTTACGGAAAACAAAGACTTTCTTATAAACCTAAACCAAACAAGGTTGGACCCATGTGAAAATAGATTGCTTTAAAAACAGTTTTAAAGAGTGATAATAAAAAGCTCCAAGTGCAATTAAACTTTTAACTTTTTTCAAAGGAACATTTTGCGCTACGCAGTTATTACGAAAAGGCATAATTACTATAAAACTTAGATAAATCACTCAGTCGTAACATTAGTAATTTAATTTGTGACTCGTTATCTAAACCTGATAAGGTGATTTCCTAATATAGACAATTTGTATGCAGTAAATTCGTAATTTCCTCGACACATTTTACCTTAATCAAATTGATTTGAATCTCTACCATGGAGCATAAAGTTATTAGTGTAAAGGCTTAGTCCACGAATGCGAGCCGTGCCACGAGCAGTGCAATGCGGAGCACTTAGTTACGTATTCCACAATCATAATTGTAGTTCGCAACTCTACCAAACTATTCAGCAGAGTACAGTTGGAGTCAAAAATATACGAGTACAACGTTTTAATTATCAGCTGCTTTAAGAGTAAGGGTGCCAAAATGCTGCTGCATTTTCACGCATAAAGAACTTGTGTCATGTGAGAAGGTGCATTGAAAAACAACTCGATATCGATATAGTAGGTACTGAGTCTTCCAGTGACTTGGCCCATTTTAGCTTGGTCCACGGGCCAAGTCACTGGATTGAATATTTAAATATTTTTTCTTCCAGTAACTGGGCCCACCTTCAATGTGTTTTTATGAATAAACTAGCTTTTGCTCGCGGCTTCACCCGCGTGATATTTAGTGTCACAGATCGGCATAAATTATAGCCTATATGTTAATCTGGGTTACAAACAATAATACTGTAAAGGTTCAACAAAATCCGTTCAGTAGTTTTTGCGTGAAAGAGTAACAAACATCCAGACATCCAAACTTTCGCATTTATAATATTATAAGTAGGATATGATTAAACACCAAATCAACAAAAATCTACTCTAGAATTCTAAACTTGGTCTGTGGAGCTAGCTAAAAGTGGGCCAAGTCACTGGAAGACTCTGGTACCTACTGTCATAAGATCTAGAGCCGTCACTGATAGTATTGAAGTAGGTAATGATATTTTTGAGACTGATTGTACCTACACGACGAACCTGCGGCAGATTCCCGACTGCCGAGTGCAAAATGTGCTCCTGTTAGTTTACTGTCGGAATAATTGCTTCATTAGGAGTGTACTCTGAAATCCTTCTTAACTTAATATGCAGCCGATATTAAAACTCCCCATTAATAAGTAGATATTGAATTACTGTCGGGTCGAACATTTTGCCATCTTGCCTTAATGAAGAAATGAAAACACATTCACCTAATCATTTAACATCATTAAATTAATTATGTTTAGGGTCATTATTATGAAAAAAATTAGTATCTAAGTACTATCAACTTTCATCTTCGAATCGGTAGCCCAAAATCGGAGCTCCAGACCATTCTGGGGTAGGCACGGCATTCCCAGCCCCCACGCTATATTTATACGTGCATGATGGAAGAGTAGTTGCCCGGCAAGCGAAAGGTCATAGGTTCGATTCTCACCTTAGTCAGTTCGATTTTTTCAAGTTATATATAATTTAGGAAAAAAATGAACTTACCCATAGACAGCGGCCGCGCCCGCTATGGCGCCGCCGCACTGCGCCGCAACGTACAGCGCCGCACGCAGCGGGGACACGCGTCGGCGGACGCATAGCGCCACCGACACCCCTGGACTCACGTGTGCTCCTGCAACAAACCACACTTTCAACCCTCTTCTTGTCGTGTCGACAACAAACCTACATAGTCATCATCATCATCATTTCAGCAATAGGACGTCCACTGATGAACATAGGCCTCCCGTAATGATTTCCACCATAGAGATATTATATTGACAGATGCCAACTAATGCGCTGAGTTCGTAATGTCGCATTAGAAATTCACACACACAAAGTAATCAAAATATGTGCTCATTATCCACTGCGGTATCAGTACTTAATGTTCAAATAATCTTGAGTACTATCGGATATCCGAAATAAAAAAAATCCGTAACCGTAACTGACTCAAAAGTTTCGGATAGTTTCGGATGTAGGCAGTTTAAATAATATTTTGTACCTATAGCATTATATGTAAAGGCATAACAGCCTGATTTACCTTTAAAATGCCATCTAGTATCCATTTTTATTCAATAACATTTTTAATAGCATCCCTAGTACTAAGCTACGCAAGCAATGTAAACTGTTTACATTATGACGTTGCTGCTGTCTTCATTGCTCTCACGAGCAATGTGTTCTTTTTGGGTATATTGCTGCGACACCGGCCCCGCCCCCTTGTCACATCTTCCTTTAGTTTCTGTGATATCCACAAAGGCCGGTTGGTAGCGGCCTGCATCCAGCGCCTTCCCGCTACCTTTGAGGTCGTCGGTCCACCTTGTGGGTTGCTACGCTCCCGACGAACACATAACCGTTTTAATCGTGAATAAAACATTTCCTAAATGCCGTTCTCATTTCCCAAGTAAAACGTTTTATCAGCGTTTTGCTGAAGACTGAAGGGTTTACATTACAAGCCTGACTAAGTCCTCCTAATGAATTCTTTCCGACTCAGCCCGATAATCTCTTCCCACTTCGTTTATCAACCGCCTCGCTTCTGGGAATGTTTCATTAAGTACGCTACTTACTTTGACGCTTTACGAAACGTAGAGTTAAGGGATTCAGCTGCTGGTAATCCAGGATATAAAATAATCCCCGATACATTTCGTACTGTACTAAATCCAATTATATTATAGATCATTGACTAAATCACAATTGTGAGAAAAGACGAGGAAGCTCTATGCTCGAACTCGAAATTGTATGACCAACTTCTAGAACGTATTGTACCTATCATATTTTATGTCATCGATTAGACTGACATTTAACCCATTTAGGCCCAGAAACGCATCTGCAACGAAACTGCAACTGCTAGTTACTTTTGAGTTTCATCTAAATTTCTGCCATAGCGTACGTTGAGAGACCACACATGATGCGACCAGTTTAAAACTTTCAGTTTCAGTTTTATTCATCAGAACCATCAGAAAGTTGCAGTATCGTTTTACCGTCTGTTCTGGGCCTTAGGCTCAATTCGATCAAACTTTTATCCGAGAATAACTCCTATGGGTCTAGACAAAGTGCAAATTATAATCTCAAACCAGTCGAAAAGTGGTCTAAAAGGCCCTTTTTTGTATGGAGTTTTGACGGATTCGATTTTCGATTCGATCAAAAAGTGCGTTTTGTCTAGGGGGGCTGGTATAACTGGCACATTGACAGATTCAGTATGGGAAATATTATGTCAAAATGACGTATAAGGGACGATTTATTATGAGATTAATATTTATTTTATTTACTCTTGTTTGGTTCCACTCTTACTGATTTTTTAAATCTTATGTCATTGGCGTAACTAGTCTGGTGGTCTTCACCAAATACATACGCGTAGTACCGTAATATTAATCAGTGAGGAGAATTTATCAAATTTCTTAAAAGCGTATGGTCTACATCTGAATGGCACAAGATCCAAAAACAGCAAAAACATTCCCAAAGGTTGCAATTCACCCAAGCTCTTAACGACGGGGTTGTTTTTTTCCGAAAATCAGGTAGCAAGTATAATAGGTTGCCTCCGATTAGAATTACAATCGGCCGAGGAAAGGTGGGTGTACGAGCTATCGTACATTATTACTTGCNTATAAGCTTAAGAAGTTGGAGCGCTAACCTTACGGTGAGAGCAACATTTTCACGCCGCACGGCTGTTTTTGGCTCTCTGAGAGTTTGAAGCTTCGTACTGCTCTCATTTTTGGCGCCACAATGTTGGTACTTGGTTTTTTAGATAGCTTAAATAATAGAGTTTTTATAGTAATAAAGAATTTTTATAAATAATATTCCATTTGCTTATTATTTGAGCTAGAAAAAAAACTTACGAACTTACGTACTATCACGAACTAGTAGCCGTTTACCTTAGAGAATGCAATCCCGAGCATGTTTTTCAATCCCGGGATCACGGGATTTTTGATGGATAATCCCGGGATCCCGGGACTATCCTGGGATCAGCCTTATGTGGGAATTGAGTTATAATAAAAAAAACTTAAGTATAATTTAGAGAAATGAGATGTTTTTAATATCGTTAGTTGCAATAATACTAAAATAAAATAAAAAATACACAAATCAAAAGCACTATTTAGAATTTTGGAAATACAATCTTAGAAGCATCCAATGTTTTACTTCCTAGCCTGCTTCGTAATTTATTTCCAACAAAAGCAGCAGCTGAAAACGCTCGCTCGGGTTCTACACTCGTTGGAGGTATAGATGATAGATACTTATATGCTAATTCTAAGTGATATCCACGAACTCCTCCATTTGCAAACAGGCTCATTTCACGTCTGATACTATTTGTCAAGCACTATTCTCGTCTTTCGCATCTAAAAAAATACTCCACACTGATGAGAATGGCAGAATAATAAATGAAAAAAAAAAAAAAGTTGCCTGGCGTATTTATACTTTTGTACAGTATTAGTATATTGAATCTCCGAAGGGGAATTACCCCGCAACAATATTTTTATATGAGGTGATCGGGTGATTCCCCTGTTAGCCCGTCGGGGAGTTAACATAAGAGAAGGGGAATTACCTTATTGAAGTATTCCGAGTGGGAAAGTCGCTTCTAAGGTCTGCGAAAAAGATATTATTAGGGCCGTACCTGTATAGTCCGTATCCGTATCGTACCTTAAGTTTGTTTTTAATCGTTATATAATTTTATGCTAAGGTATAATCTAGGCAAGGTCAAAGTCAAGGCGCAACGGATCGTAGAATGCAAAATAGACCTGTTTATATCAATCCCGAAAATACCGGGATTAGCCAAGTACAGTCCCGGGATTTTCGGGATCAGAAAAGGGTCGGGATCCCGGGAATTGGGATCCCGGGATTGTATTCTCTAGTGACGACGCAGACCTTACCTGATATGTTGAATAGAAAACTTCGAATCTCAAATTGTTATTACTTGCTTTTTTATTTAAATCTTCATCTTATTATTGATATTGTTCTGTATAAGTTATCTTTTTACCTTCCGACAAGGCTATTTTACAGGGTTCATAATCTTATCCCNATGAAACAAAACAGTGCACGGCGATTCTTTGGATTCTCTCAAGTTGTCCAATAAGAAGTGTCAGTAAAAGTACCACAACTTTACTGAGACTCAAAGGGTGGGAAAGGGTATCATCTATCATTGTTCATTATAATCATTAACCCAAGTCCCATCCCACTTGGTCCCATTCTGTAACTCGTCTCATTTAAAACTTGAAAATGGCTGGCACAAATCAAGTCGACCTCGACGTGTATTGCCAACATCAAAAAAGAAGAAGAATTTGGACCTAAGCGGCACTTTTTTGTAGGTATTTTAATGATAGATCGNTATTCAATGAAAATATTGTCCGAACCCTTAGTATTTCTCTTCGACAAATACATTAACACATCGTGAACCACTTTTCTTTCACGACTATAAAAATATTTTAGCAATTTAATTCACAAAATCAATTGCACACATTTAAAATAAAGTTTGTTTACACTTTGACAACAATATACTGACATGCAAGGTGACATGTCAATGAAGTTTTCAGTTACTGTTGCCATTAAAAGAAATTAGTACCATTAGTTTTCCGCAACATGGCGAGGGTTTTTATGTTCCTGGTCAGGCTATAACTTGCTGCAAATATCTAATGAATTCAAACAAATTATTTTAAAAAATAGCTTCGATACATATTATACATTTTTCAAACCACTTTTTTAATTTCGGTCTATAACAAAAGTAATCAAGAAAAAATATGGTGGCGCTGGTTAGCTAGGATATGTTATTCCTTCTAAGTTCAATGAGCACTATTAGTCCAGTAGAATTAGATTTTAAATCGGAAATAATTCCTACAAAAGATTTTATTGCTTTATTGGCTTCATTGGTTGCCCATTAAGACTCTCCTAGGTTTTCGACTTCGACGGAGTTGTGCTTAAGTGGTGGGGGCCCCCGAAAGGGGCGCTTTTTAGGTTTTCCGGTTATACCGCGTAAAGGACTTANTAATAAATCAGTGTATGAGCAGCACTCAAACGGGTCGGTTTTATTTAGCACTCTTAGGAGTAACCCATCCCTCATCAGCAAGCATAGCATAGCAACTATTACAGTGGGGCTCTACCGCTACGCGTTTTCTGAATTCAACATTTTCTACCAATAACATAAGTTCTATTATAAACTCTACACGTATTTATGGCACATTGCAATTTTTTTTTATATAAAAAAAACAAATGTTTAGTATTTTTATAAAAAAAAAACTCATAAAACTCATTTATTTAAATGCAAGTAGGTAGACTTATAAAAAGCACTTTTACACGTCCCAGTATTAACCCTACCACTGTTTCAGGACAATAAATGGGCCAGTGCTGAGAAGAAGCAGCGCAAGAAACTCAGTTATATTGTCAGCCTCTTCTTCAAGGGTTTACAGACTTTAAAATATAACATAGTTATGNTAGTTATACATATTTATGCGAGCTAGGCAGTTTTAAGCATCCCAAGCATTTTTATCTTTTTTAATAATCATCGACTTTATAGTAGCCTTTTTTCATTAAGGTACTTTTAATATGTGCTTTGAATTTATGCATGGGCAGTTCTCAGTTTGTGGTAATTTCAGAATCACAGTCAGAAAAGTAAATTATGCCTGAAAATACAAAATTTATTAAACAGTACCT